TCACAGTCTTGAGGAATGTAGAGCATTTCCTCTGTGTGTTTGCTAAATAGCCTTTCCACAAACACTTCCAGCTACGAAGGTACATACTTGTCTTCTCTCCTTTCAGTGATTCGTCTAGAAAACCTCTTAGAAAAACTCTGTTGCAAAGGAATTGTGAGTTTTTCTTAAATTTGCAGTTAGTCAAATGTCAGATTGAACATTCTCAGTTACTATGGTGTGAATTTTAATTATTTCAGTAAGTATCTACAAATAATTTCTGCAGATAATACCAGATAATGAGAATTTCTGAACATTCAAATGTGTTTCTTTATAACAAGAAAAGCAGCTCTAGAAAAATAGGAAAATAATTTTTTTATGTGAAACATTGTTGGAAACTGACCTAAACAAATGTGAAGAGAAAGGGAATGGTGTGATTATCTGCTTCCTTCAATCGTCCTGACTCCAGTTACAAAATTCTAGAGCAGTTCAACTCTTCAAGCCCAAAACTCTACAAAATGACTTGCATAATAGGGATGAAGAGATAGAACAGCAGTCAGGTGCATTATTTATATTTTACTCTTTAAAATAAGATTTTTTTTTTCCTGTAGCCCAGCTTAGAACAGAGCCCTGAATGGAAATGGAACTGTCTGGATGCATCTCTGTCCAATAGGCTCCAGGATGACCCTGCCTGAGCAGGGAGGTTGGACCAGAACGCCTCCCTGTGATACCTTCCAACCTTACTCATTCTGTGATTCTGTGAAATACTTGAAACTGCAAATCTTTTCCTCCTTCCACTTTATGGTCATATTGGTTTATTTATTTGTGTGTGACAGGACCATCCTGTGCCTATCTGGAAAAATCAAAAATCTGTTTTCCTTTGCACCTTAGAATGAAATATATATTTGAAGAAGACAGAGGAAAAAGTTTCCTAGAAACACTTCTATTTAGGACAGTATAAAATTTAAGTATAATTTCAATTTAGGAAAGATTAATTTAACATCTTTTAAATAAGCAGTTAATCTGCTGCCTATTTGGTAGAGTACTGCAACTGTGTTCCTTTCACTGCCTAAGAGAAGGCACACATTTGTTTAAAACGTTTGCTAATTAATTACTTATGTTGAATGAACAATGCATATTATCCCCTGAAATATTCTTTTCATATTTTTAGAAACAATAAGGAATAAAGGAAACTAGGAGGGAAAGCCAGGAAGTATAATTTTTTGTATTTCTATATTTACTCCTTAGTCCTCAAATATGTCAAATAATGTAACGACAATATGTCAATAATGTAATGACAAAAGACATCAAAGCAACATATATATATAAACATACACATACAGTGAGGCAGTGATAAAGTTTGAGCTTTCATTGATAGAGTTATCAACCATAATGTGCATGTGTTTTACATTACTTCAATATTTTTAGTTAAAAGTGGTTTTTATGTGAAGCACAAAACACCAAATATTGCAGAATCCCATTTAGTATAAGGCATCACAAAGCATAATAAAACTAGCAGTTTTGGTGCAAATCACTTGATTTGCATCAGAGGTAATTCAAACAATTGTGCTCTTGTCTTATCCAGGCTTTATAGAATTCCTTCACAAAATACAGAATAACAAATACAAACTATCAATGTTCTAAGGAAGTTCCATACACATGAAAACATTTTGGAACTTCCATGAAAGATTAAATTCTCAGCTAGTATACGCTAAAGTGTTTCTTTGCAATGATTTTTAATTTTGAACAAAATACATGGTTTCCAGATTGACAGGTTGGCTGATATAGCTTTGCTGTTTTAGTGTTTATGATAGTCCTATGTTCTTGCAATTAATTCCTTCTAAAAAATTTCTAATTCATTCTACTATAAAGACTGAATAAAATGGTTTTGTCACTAGATGAGGAAAGTAAATACTCAAGAATTTCTTTCCTGTAGGCTTTTCAACAAAGTATATGACTGGTTAACTGTTCACATTAAGAGATTTATCATTAATAGCTTCTGTAAATTTATGATAGATGTACTTATTACATATAAGATAGGTTATGTGACATTTGTGATGTTTAATATTGAACATGAAGTGAAGTAACAAATATAGGCCACAAGAGTTAAAAGAAAATAATTTCTGGTAATCTATTTCTTTGAGGTATGAGATTAAAATTACAATTTTCATGACATATTGGAGGCTCTTTCAGTTGCTTTCGGACAATGAAGAGTTAAAATTAGGCACATGTTCTTGCCTTTTTTTTAAAAATTCTGTGTACATCTCAGGGTGACAGATATGCTTATATTCTGCAGAAATGTGCTTCTGAGTGACAGGAGCCTTGAAACGTTGTTTATGTGTTTAGCTCTGAATATCAAGGACATGATTTAGTAGGAAGCCATCATGTTAACACCATTAATAGCATTTCACCAACATTTATAATCCAGTACTGAATAAGACCATTTACCTCTCAGACTGTACAGAGATTCCACATCTGAATCACTAGTTTTTCATATGCTATCAAAAAAGTTTCTTATTAAAATAGTCACCCCTAGTAAAGAAATGCATTAATTGATGAGTTCTGTATTGTAAACATGAAAGTGTATACTTTGTTGTTGTTGTTGTCATTGCCAGAAATTCTGCTTGGTTTTTCCATTATTAAAATGAATGTCAACACAGAGGAAAGTATGTTCCTGCTGTCACAGGGTGTATGCTTAGACTACATCTGAACATTGTTTTTCAGGGAAAAGTGTTCAATGATTTGATCACCTGTCAGGCATGTCTCTGTGAAATGTCTTGCAGAGCCTTCAGTTCCCTTTCTCTTACCATCTGTGTAGCAAAGAACAAAGCCCCTTTTCCTATAAGCTATGCTGACAGAGAAAAAAATCACAGGCATCCATTTGGGGCTTTTGTTGTCCAGGTGGAATTCTTCTTTCTTCCACAGAAACATAGAAAATCAATATCACAATGGTTTCTTCCTGTGTGTTTTCAAGCCAATATCTAATAATGTATTTCTATAATCTGCCACACATCTTCTCTCTGTCTTTTTTTTTTCTTCCAAGTCTCCAGAATCCTTTCACAGGCTTATCACTGCAATAACATATAATGTATGCTTCTATAATGTAATGTTATACTTTAAATCACTAAAGATGAAATATTCAAATTTGCTTCAAATCAGACGCAAAAGGGATATAAATGTAGAGCAGAATATTATCTAAGTCACCGGGTAAAGGATAACAAGCTCCTTTTGCTGAACTTCCTTTATACAATGTATGACTTAATAACCATATTCTGAAGATTTTAGTGACTGCTACATAAGCAAGACAACGTGATCATCAAGAGATTTTACAACAGACAATGTATCTTTTTCAGAATTTTCACTAGGCTGTACAAGGTAGGTTGGCACTGCCAAATATTGAGGGTAAACAAAACTGGAACAAGATATGGAGATGTGTTTTGTTTTATTTTTCGGGGAGAAAGGAAATGCAACTATCTGGGAGACTCCAGAGGCTCCAGGATTAGGGTGAAAGAGAAAGTTCATAGAACACTAATCATGTTCATTAGCCTTTGTTGCATTAGCCATAGACGCTTCAATGTTTAGAGATCTTTCTGTGGAATTCTCTCAATTTTTAGCAAGGGATGTTATACCAAATACCACAAACCTACATTTTCTGAATAAAGAACGCTTCAGGATTTTCAAACACAAAATAAACATCCCAATAGACTTCTTTATTTAAATAGACTTATTAAAAATTTAAAACAGATGAAAATAGTTTCAATGAAATAAATAAATAATTAAGGCAAATCTGTATGCTTGTCAGAAACTCTGTATTAAGAATTAAGAGAAGGTAGACAGGTTTCCGACATGTCTGTCCTTTTTTTATAGTTAAAGTTATTTTTTGTGTTTAATATTCTTTTCAAGTTTACCTAGTCAAACCATAAACTAAAAAATGTTGCCAGATAACTTACACTGGTAATAATAATAACCTTTAATCACAGTGAAAAAGAATGATACAATGATTTTTTTTTTTTAAATAGTGGACTTGCTAGAAGAGGCAAGTTATCATGCTTCAAGCAATTTTAAACATTGATTTGACTGCGAAATACAATAACAGATTGCACTTTGAAAACTGGTCACTAACAGTGCATTGTCAGCAGGCCTAGGCAGTAATCCCTGAGTGTTGTAAGACTGCTGCCATTAATAACTGAGCTTGTTAGTTGAAAGCTGACAAAGACTCAAGTGTTTAAGAGGATTACTGCTATAAATCATATTAATTTTTTTTTAAACATTCAAGGTCTTATTCATTAAGGGCTTTTGCAACAGAAACAGCTACATGAGGATATGATTCTGTTTTGATAAATGACTAGAACTTTCATTTTGCAAATGCTTGCAGTGGGCTCTTTGAAGAGTACTTAAAGGAATCAGTTATTCAATTTCTGTATATGAGGTCCATTTTCTTTGTAGGAAGTCAATACACTGGTCAGCCATCCTCAAGCAATGAGGAAAATATGGGTTGAGGTTCCATAGGTTAGAGATCTTGGCAAGAGGCATGTTTCAAGCACTTGTGCTTGCTAGGTAGTCTTATATTCTACTTTAGGCAGTGTAGTTTCATCCATAGCAGCAGCATTATTTTAGATCTGACCCTAAAAGAGTAAGACCATGAGGAATCAGAAAGATGATCAAAGGGCTGAAGAATCTGCCCTATGATGAAATGTTGAAGAATGACAGGATCATGAAAGTGTTTGTGTTGGAAGGGACCTTGAAGATCATCTAGCTCCACTCCCCTGGTGTGGGCAGGGGCAGCTTTCACTAAAAAGTTCACATGTCCCTAGCTTCTTTGGACAACCAGTCCAAGTGCCTCACCACCATCATAGTGAAGAATTTCTTCCTAATATCTAATCTGAACCTGCAATTTTTTTGTTTAAATCAATTAACTTTCTTTTCTCTCCAGAGAAGGCACTGTATTCCAGTACAAAAAGGTTAGCTACAAAGAAGATGAAGGCTCTCTCTTCACAAGGTATCACATGGAAAAGACAAGGAAATACAGGTAAAAGCTGCATTGAGAGAGGTTTCATCCCAATTCAAGAAGAAATTTTTTACAGTGAAAACTATCAATCAGGAACAGCCTTCCCAGGGACATGGTAGCTGTACCATCCCTGGGGGTTTTCAAGATCCAAGTAAACAAGTTGCTTACTCCTTTCTTCTAGGGTTTCTTTCTCTAAAAAAGAGCAGATCAGGTAATTGAGTAAGTTTTGACTTTTGAATTTCTTAACCCTTATGTTATGATCATTTTCTGACATGCATTTTTCTAGGTGAGAAGAAAATATTTTTATGCTCTTCCTATATTGAACGTATTTCCGTAGACGGAATTGCATGTACAGTAATAGAATCTGTGTTTTAAGTACTCCCAACTAGCACTTAAAAATGAGCTATTGAAGTTCTGTGATCTTTTAGGAAGAGTATAAGTGAATTTTTCTGTAGGTACCTTACTCATCCAAGACAGATGACCTATGGATAGTGACATTTAATTGCTTGGCTTGACCATTTCTATACTGCATATCAGCAAGACAAATGGAGGATATTGCAATCTAGAAATTAATTAAATATGAAATAAAGAAGAAATTAAATGAAACATAAATGAGGTCTGAATTTTATTCCATCTTAAGTGTGAACTTCAGACTTTAATTTTCAGGGCTTATGTGATCCAGAAGATTCTTTGTCCTATATTTCATTTGTCTCTACATTTCTTATGCCTAAGACCATGTCTAAATCAACTGGAAAGAATTTTTTCTTTAAAAAAACCCAAACCTCATGAAATTTCAAAATATATCCATGCACATTCACATAGGCATGCTCAGCTGTCATTTGCTAATAACATAAAACAGCACCATATTAAGCTTTTCAGTCAAATATTTCCCACAAAGAAACTAATTGCTGCTCAGGTGTAGTGGAAGTCATGCTTAGAGAAGACTTTTCTTACTTTGTGACTTTTCTGGTTGGTATTGCATGCTGCTTATCGGTAGGAATGTCAGAAGTGAAAGTACATCAGCATCTGCATCATGTACTCTTCATTCATCCTCTGAAGAGTGTTGATCCTTCTTTCCAGGGCATCAAACTTATCTATCACTATGTCTTTTTCTTTCCCAATCTTCTGTTTTCTGCTTCAGGAATACAATATCAGGAAATGAAACAGTGATGTTACATTATGAATCAGCTGAAGTAACGGTAAAGTTGCAAGACTGGCAGCATTTTAAAGCCTTGTCTTTCAGCTTTATGGGTGTTTTCTGACAAAGTAATCATAAGAATTTATAACTGACCTGTGTGTGACCATCTAAATGCTCCAAGGAAGAGATAGTATACAAATGTTCCTCATAATTTAACATCTTGAACATGTTAAAAAGAAAAAAATATCGAAATGCCTAATTATATATATCAACTCAACAAATCAACAGAAGAACTTGAATATTTATTATATATGGATTAGATCTACTTTTGATGGTAGTTACAATGAGGCATTTGTGCCTATACTATACAGAAAATTTAGGACTAAACATGAAATAATGTCTGACGATACACTGTAATGCTCCTTTTATACCTGATAAATGAAATAGGAAAATCTCCAGTTTGTTCCTTGGCAAAATAGCTTTGCAACTACAGACAATTTAAGCAAAAGAGATTGTCTCTAAATAAAATTTATTCTTTTATACTGATGTACATACATTTATATATTGTAGATATCACTTATATAATGAATATTGAATTTAAATTTCTTTCATATTTTGCTGAATGTTTCAGTCCATATATTAGTCAGTAATAATAGAGATAAAATAATCTTTTGTTGCATGGATCTTGAAAAATGTAAAAATTGTACTTCAGGAAAAGATCTAAGAAAAACTATAAATGTGGATTTGCTTAAAATTCTTCAGAAACATTAATTGGCTTTCCTCAATAAGACTTCACAGGATTTCATTCATGAATTCCAGATAATGAGAGCTCAGCTTCTGGATTTATCTTAAAGACTTGAGGCAGATTGGTGAGTCTTTAATATGCAAAGTCAGGCTAATTCTGTCTAAATTCAATTCTTGAGTAAATAAAATTAACAGAACAAAATGTCTGAGGCCTAAGAATCATTTTCAGAATCGCCAATGACTAAAAAAAATGCTGTAACTGGAATAACTTTATGAACTTTTAAGTTTCATTGACCTAATTAACTGACTGAGGGAGAAGAAGATAATATATATTCAATTTGGCAAGAAAAAATATGAACAAAATGAAAAATTTAAAATTATATGCAATGGTACTGTTAATTTCGGTTTATGATTTCACTCTCTACTACACTTTGATATTTTTATAATTGGCAGAATTTTCAGGTCAATCTTCATGACAAATATAATGAGTAAATATCAGTCAGAAATGTTTGTGCTACTTTTAAGACACTGAAATGCTCACTGAACTTCTAATCTTTTTTTCCAAAGATTCTTCAAATCAATCTTCATTCATAGCTGTGTGATAGAAAGGTTCATAAAGCCTGGTTTGTTTTTTTTTTCACTTGCAAAAATCAAATCTATCACAGCATATTGGTAAATTTATTTGGATACATATTGCAAATGCAACTGGATATTTGCTCCAAAATCTAATTTCAAAACTCATTGATACCTCAATTTAAAATAATTTTATATTCAACTGGAGCCAAAAAGAAGTGTGAACAATGTGAACAGAGAGAGACACTGTGCATTAATAATGTGATCTTTCACTCCTTTGTCTGAGATCAAAACTGACTGAAGCAATACTTGAATAAGACATATGGCTACAATCAATTTTCATCTAAAATGTTAAATCTTACTTTCTGTAATGGCAGAAATAATATTTTGATGTGATTGTCTCCTCATCCTACAATGGTACAGGATTGTGTTTTCTTTTACTAGAGTGGAACCATATTCATTGTAAATCCATTTCAAAAGAAATCACATAGAAGTATCCTAAGAAAACATAAATTAGAGACCCAGACTAATAGGAGGGTGTAAATCCTTGCTTCCATGAAATTATTTCAGAGTATTTAGAAAGAACCAAGGGCAGAATCTAGAAGAAACAATTTGCTATTTGAATTAAAACACAATTTTTTGATTTTTTGTTTAACTGTTTGTTGAAATACTCCTCTTTGGATGTGTATTCAAGACTTTATGCAATGCTAACTCATAGTTTAGGGGTTGCTGGGTGACATTGTTCACATGCATAAGTGAACAAATTTTCTTCTTTCTGCTTTGTGGGAGTAAACAAAACAGAACAAAAATGAAGTATTCTTAAATTAAATTAATTTTTGTGGTGGCTTTTCATGAGCCAGTCTCTTTATACAGGATTGTTGAACCTTAGGAAAAATATTTAAATGCTATTTGCTTAGACAGTACACTATTATATCTACAGAAGACAGCTAATTCTTCTTTTTTCATGGGCGTCTTTTTATTACATGAACTACCTCCCAAGAAACAAAAAATTGAATTGCAAGAGAGACTCCTGATGGTGAGTTTCACATGATGACTATGGTTAGGGAAACTAATTTATTCTGCATATGTGTGTCTGGTACATAAGCCTTGACTTTTTAGGCAAGTTTTAAAATTTGTTGGTACATATGCATGCACATCGTACTAGACCCTTTAGCTTTACTACACATTGTCAAAAGTCACAGGCCATCTGAACAAAAGCAGAACACTAGATTTTGTCATATATGTACAAGGAATACTGACTGTATTTTACACCTACTTTTGATAGTTACCAGCAGTTGGTTAACTTACCAACTTGTTGAAATGTTACACTTTTATACATAAATATGATAAGTGTATATTATTAAGCCTGTATAAATGAAGCTTAAAGAAATATTAAGTGTGATCAGGATATTTCAGGATATGCATATGTTGTAATTTCCTTTTAGTAAATCATAATAATTAATAGCATAGGATTAATATGCCACTGATATAGCATAGTATTAAAAAGTGCTTACAGTGCAGCAAAGTTGTGTGTTTCATTTTTACTTCAACATAAAGATAAATACTGTTTATAATGGGCAGAAAAAAGATCCAAAAGCCTTCTCAGATCTTTAATTCTCATAAATAGATGAGACCATGAATTAACATGTTCTTTGACAGGAAGCACCTTTATCAGCAATTTCCCCTAACCATGGGTCTGAAACAGAAGTCATTAACGGCTTTTTTGTCCTTTCTTTTCCTATTTCTCTATTTATTTAACTTGGCTGGCTGCCAAGGTGTAGAATTGGCATGCTAAAATCCAGCAGGATAGGAAGATGAATTAAACAACACAAAATTTACACAGACCCACTGTGCTGAATCAGTTCTGACTCAGAAGGAATAGTACTGAGTCACCAAAATCAGCATGTTATATTGCTGGAAGTTTCTCATTTTGAATATCGGCAAAATTCAACCTTGCACAGAGTTTAAAACATGGCAAGAACAAATGGCTACATAATACAGCTACAGGTCAAAAAAGATTAATATATATTAATATAAACTGAGAAAAGCTAAGAGTCTGGAAAGAGGTAAACATTTAGAACTTCAGAGTGGTTTGAAAGAGCTGACATTGAAAACGAAATCTTCAAGGAGGTGACTCATTTCAATACACACAGGAGAAATTATTTGGTAATTATTTTCCAATTTCAGAATAAAATAGTGAACTTTAGTTCTCTGTTTAGTTTGTTTTTTAGGACAACTGCTCTTTCACTGATGAGCCTGTTTCACAAAGATCTGCATACACAGATGCTCTCTCTCTCATGCACACACACACACAGACACACATACACATGTAAAAACAGATCAGCTACAGAATCACAGAACTAATCAGGTTGGAAAAGACATCTGAGATCTTCAAGTCCCACCTGTGACGACAGACCACCATGTTAAATAGACTATGGCACAGTTGGTGCCACATCCGATCTTTCCTTAAACACTTCCAGGGACTGCCACTCCATTACTACCCTGGGCAGTCCATTCCAATGCCCAATTACACTTTCTGTGAAGAAATTCTTCCTAATGTCCAACCTACAAGTTCCTTGGCACAGTTTAAAACTGTGTCCTCTTGTCCTGTCACTGATGATCTGGGAGCGGAGACCAAGCCCCACCTAGGTACAGCCTCTTTTTGGGGACCTGTTGAGTGCGATAAAATCACCTCTGAGCCTCATCTTCTCCAAGCTGAGCAACACCATCTCCCAGCTGTTCCTCATAGATGTGCTCTCCAGACCATTCATCAGACTTCTTGCTTCTCTGAACACTCCAGTACCTCAGTGACCTTCTTGTGTTGAGAGGCCCAGAACTGGACACAGGATTTGAGGCGTGGCCTCACTAGTGCTGAGTACAATCACTGCCCTAATCCTGCTGGCCACACTACTTCTGATACAGGCCAGGATGCCATTGGCCCTCTTGGCCACCTGAGTAAACTCATGGCTCATGTTTAGCTGGCTGTCAAAAAGCACCCCCAGGTCCTTTTCTGCTGTGTACCTCTCCAGCCATTCTGTCCCCAGCCTGTAGCACTGCATGGGATTATTGTAGCCAGGACCTATTACTGTCAAGGTATCTGATAGGTAAGCATTAGTGAAAAAGGAAAAAAAATGTAATTGTCTAATATATTTACCCTCCAAAAAGTTCTAGTTAACTATAATGTAACAGATTACAATGCCCGTTATCAAAATACTCCCACAAACATCAGAAAAAAATTTTTGTTCACATTCTTGAGAAACATTTAAGAAATGTATACAATGAAAAAACTGTTGCATAAAGTAGAAACAGATCAGGAAATTGGGGCAATATAAAAAAAGAAAACTGATTCCTCAATAAAATTGAAGCAATAATGGATAGTAGATAAACTAACTTTTGGAAAAGAGGAAGAAATAGAAAATCAGGAATATTTTAATTCTAGAACAGGAAAAAAGCAACAGGAGCATCTGGTATGATCAAAATAAAATCAATAAGAAGTGACATGTTTTGTGAACCTGGAACACACAAGAGGAGTTCATATGAAATGTTTTCCTTTATGATTGACCAGATACTTTGCCCTATAGTGCTTTTACATTCTTTGCTACTGAAACTTTTCCTTTCCCATTTGTGGGCTTGGAGAGTTGAGTATTTCACATAATTAGTAAGTGTTGTCAAGCCAGAGCAAAGCAGTGCAGTATCTGGCTGACTGCCCAGAAGTAGAAACAGAATAGTAAAATCTTGCAAACAGGACATGAAGAGAAGTTAAACAAGAGACAAATCCTCTATTTTTGGCACATACTCAGCTTGGCAAACTGGGAAATTACAGATGGAAAATGAAAAAAAAAAAAAAGAAAGTTCTGAAAAAATAAAAGTAAGACATGCAGTTGGATAATTTTGCAAAATTCATCGTTCCATCAATCTTTGGATAGCAGATACAACATATGACATAGAACATACTAATGAAAATGAATCCCTTTAAACTGGAAATTCCTGAGATAAGTAAGCCAAACATATCAAGGACATTTATACTAATCCATTACAGTCATAGTAATTCAACCTATTAAAGAGAAACAGGAGTCAATTTGATTCCAGGTTGATGGAGCAGCAAAAGAAGAAACAGAGATATGCCAGCTCAAAGATATAGTTATATAAACATTTTTTAATAAATTCGATAAATAAAGGAAATATTTGAATTTGATTTTTTTTTGTTTTGTTTTCAATTTTTTTTAAGTTGAACATTCAAAATAGTATTGAAAATTTTTGGGGAAAAGAAGTCTCATTTTGTCTATTTTTGTTGCCTCTTTTCTCCCTCTTCTGTAAGGCTGTGAACTTTTTCTTTCACTTACTTCTGATAAGAAACTACATTATAGGTATACAGATTTCTTCTGATTTATCCTCAGATACAAACAAGCCCCACCAGCTGGCTGGGGAAGACAATCAGGGTAAAACTGAGAAAATCATTGGGTAGAGATAAAGAAAGTTAAACAGGTAAAGCCAAAGTCATACACACCAGCAGTGCAAAGAATTCATTCCCCACTTCCCATGAGCAGTCAGGTGTTCAGCAGTCTCCAGGAAAGTTGTGCTGGATGACCTGTAATGGTGGCTTGGGAAGATGAACACCATCACTCCAAACATCCCCTTCTTCCTCCTTTTTCCTCTGTTGTGTAGGCAGAACATGATGTCATAGGATATGGAATATCCCTTTGGTCGCTTGGGGTCTGCTGTTCCATCTCTGTCCCTTCCCAAATTCTTGAGCACCCCCGGCCTCTTTAATGGGGAGAGGTGAGAGGCAAAGATCTTGACTCTGTAAGCACTATTCAGCAATATCTAAACCATTGCTGGGTTATTGATGCTATTTTCACCCTTAAACTAAAACATGGCCCCATAATAGCCACTGTGAAGAAAATGATCTTTGCCACAGTAAAAATCAGCAGGAGTTTATTTTGCAGATCATGGAATTATAGAACAGTTAGAGTTCAAGGGACCTCTGGAGATCATACTTAAAGCTCTGACAGTCTTGCCATTGCTGTATTTTACCTGACTATCTAGAAATCTAGGGATAAACTTAAAATGTAACAGCTCTGGAAGATATTTTCTTAATGCAAAGAAAGTGTAGGAGGAAAGCACATTTTAGTAGCCTAATTTATACATTCCAAACATAGGAGTATATCAGTGATAAGAGCCAATGTGTTGACAGTAAAGGAGTTCTTAGTTCACAACCTGTGATGCCACTATGAATGTCATCAATAAAGCTTTAATAGCTGAAAGAAATAGATCAAGGAATTTGCAATTTGCTGTACAGGACATGTACAGTACAGGATTTTTTTTCTCTGATTTTGTCCCCAAGTTGTTAACTTTCCAATAAAGATATCATACAAAAGCCACATGTACCTGACCCAACAACACTGTACATTTATATTGGGTTATTCAGGCTAGGTCTGCATGCAGGAAACTTACATAAATACACTTGATGTTTACTAGATCAACTTACCTATGTGATATATTTTAAAATATTACAAACTGAACAAACAAACAAACAAACCCCAACATCTGTGAATGACTGATCACCAGAGGATGCATATAGCCCAGAAGTTAGATTTGTGTGACCTTTCTGTGCTTGATTGTGATGCAAATGATCTCTATGTCAGTACTGTTTTAATAACCTCAAAAATTTTTGGTAGCTACTTTTATATGTATACAGATTACATCAAGCTGTAACAAAAATACTGATATTAATAAACTCATTTGATTCAGAAGTTATCCAAAACACCTGAAAATTTATTGAAAAATTCCATCTGTGTCTGAAATTTGTGATTGAATTAAATCATGCATGTGTAACTTCACAGTCTCCCATGCTGTGAGATGTTTATTATCTGATTAGACAAAAAACTAGCCAATACAGCATGAGAAGGGCCATTCATATTGTTCCCTAATAGCTACTAGAAATTGTGAAAATAGTTCCTCTTTTTCATCTGCTCTTTTTTTGTTTGTTTGTGTCTTGTTTTAATTAAAAAAAATTCCAAGATCACCAGCAACTTCAGAGAAAGGCATTTCTGAAACACTTGCAGAATCTTGGCATATGTTTTGATTCTACTCTGTCTGGTTACATTAGACTGTGTAATAGGGTGAAGGTTTTACCTACTATCACACTCAGGAGATTAAGCACAATATGGTCCTTCCATATGGTATTTTTGCCTAGAAACCAAGGAGATTAGAATGCCTATGCTGAACATCACTCCATATGTTCATCAGAATAGACCATAGGTCTTGATAGAACTGGGGATTTTTTAAAAGATTTAAATTAATATCTTTAACAGTGCCTGCAAAACATCTCAAGCACTGCAAATAATTATTCTGTTTCATCTTCTGCCTCTTCAGAATTATGCTATTATATGTTATGTTAATAGCTATTTTCTTTGCTTCCAGTAAGAATTTTCCATTGTTAACATAATTATTTCACTTTGATACTGGAAAAATTTATGCTCTATTTAGGAAAAATATCTTGTTTGCACTTAAACATACTGTACACTTAAAGCAGAAAAAAACCTAAGTCAGCAGTTTACTCTGGGTTTTTTGCTAGCTATTTTAGTGATTAGTAAGTTGAATCTTTGCAGACACATCTAATTTCCTGCGTAATATTTTTCACATTTAATCTTGATACTGAAATTACATGACAACATGGACTTTATCCCTGTAATTTATGGAATTAGAGAACAAAGAAATCACAGGTTTTTGAAAGCATGCGTACAGCCCCAGTACTAATATTCACAGTTCTTTCACATAAGAAAATTCCTTCTCATCCTCACAGCCTTGAGTAACTAGCAAATCCTGGAACATGAAAATTACTTTCTTAGCATTTTTGATTGTCCAGCAATTTAAGAAAAAGCTCCAACAAATTCCTCTCTTTTCTTCTGTCTTAGACGAAACACAGATGTGTTTCCTTTCCAACTGGACTTGGGGGTGAAACCATAACCTGAGGGCAAGGAGGCTGAAAATTAGAATAGAAAAACAACAGTCAAAGAAGATAGTCATATACTTTGATCAAGAAAGATAATCTTTACAGATGTTAATCTTTGAATAGCTTATATAAGGTTTCAACTTAAAGCAAGTTGTATCATTTTATTTTCCAAGTGTTTAGGGTTTTGATTTTAGTTTTTTTTGTGAGAGAAGTCTGTTTTCTTGTTCATTATGATTATTTATTGTTCCTTTCTCTTAATTGGTCTTTTCTCTGACTAGATATAAGATTGAGTGGAGGCTTTTCTTCCACTAGGTCTTATTCACCTAGTTTGTTTAGGATACAGTTGGTTAAGATTCTATCATCTCATTTAACAAGAAGAATAAATATAGAAGAACACAAGAAGCTACTGCTCTTATTAATGGTGATTGTCACTCAAAATACCTTTAGATGTTTTAAATAAGATATTAAATGGTTCATTGAAAGAAAAAAATTAGTATTTAATTTGGCTTCTGGTTTTCTGAATGACTATATTGCAGAAGGAAATATCTCCATTCCATTGGCTTAAGTTATTTTTACTTTACACTACAAATCTTACCTAAAAAGGGATTATTTTACACATCATTGCAATCTTTATAACAACCTAAAATGGACTTCTTTTCAATGCTGCTTGCAGCTATCATTTAGGAGTAATAATAGAGGGCTTTAAAAGAGAATATCCCATCATACAGTATCTATCTAGTAATTTTCCTCCTCTCTCTTGTACCTTAAGAAGGATTTGCTTTTTTCAATTGACTGTTTCAACTATGAGAATTCAAACTTAAATTTTTTTTTATTCACTCTAGCCTGATGACAGAAAATTGGAGTTATTCATGATTCTGTCCAGCAACATGGTCATTTTATGATATTTTTCTAGCTCTGATGTGTTTTTAATAGCGATATCAGTACAAAGAGATTGAAAGTAACACAAAATAACAGGGCAGTGGAAGCCAAATGCAAAATCAATAAAACAGATTCTCACAGAGTATTTAAATAGAAGATAGTTCTCTGTGTGAATAAAACAAACAAGCAAACTATTGTGACTTCATTTTTGCACAAGTTTTTGGTCAGTCTATTTTTTAGAAAAGATAAAATATGTCTGGTCCTACTGTAGTGTGATCAAATTATGGCAACTCTGAGACCATTTCTATTACTGTAGTGGAATAACCCAGATTAATTAGTGTTATTTATTGTAGTCAAGTTATGCCTTCTTTGAGATTTCACTGTCTCTTTCTGTGTATGATTCTAAGCATGTTATCCTACAAGTATAAATAAAAATAGAAAACTGGAACGACTTGTAAAATAAGGTTTCAGGACCTGCTTTTGATCCTAACAGGAAGAATTTTGGGGTTTAACTGCATCTGAACTGCTAAAACTATTTCACCCCTCATGTAAATTATATACCAAAATAAAATATGAGGGTTGTGTTGCAGAGAAGTTCCAGCAATTTAAAAGATAAATTTGGATGTAATATATACAAAAGGACCTTTACTGTTACTTTATGCAAAGAACCTGTCAGCAGTTCACGAGCTCAAATGCTCCCAAAAACCCTGTAAAAGCTCAGTCTGTTAAGGAAATGGGGTTAGAAAAACTATTATAAAGAAAATTATCTTAGAAAAACCTTCATAGATGGAAGTCAACTAGTCAAGTTTGCACATATAGACTTTCAAAAAATGAAAAATATTTTAGCTCATGTGATGTTTTTAAGACTAGGGACATGTGTTTAGAACGTGTAGTATTTAGATTAACATCAGTGGCATGTCCAGAGTATATTTTCTTGACTAAAGAACATTAACAAATCAACTGGTTGCATCCAACAGCTTTTAAGACTGTTGGTACCAAGTGTATATCCATAAATTCCCCTCAGCTATATGCTTGCAGGTGGATCCCCTTTGTCTCATCCTTGTCAACATACACACCTACATACCATACATATCAACAGAGGAGAAGTCTGGATTGGCATGTAGCAGGACCCTGTTTCTTGTCAATATAGAAAGCATTTTTTAATGGAATCATACAAAAATAAAGTTGCAAGAGAACTCTGAAGTCATCTAGTTCTGCTCCTGCTGAGAGGATAGCAAACTTTGAAGTTGAATTGACCTGCTAAGTGGTTTGTCCAGCTGAATTGGGGCTGTCCCTAAGGTCAGTGATTGCACATGTGTGCAACCTACAACATTACTTAATCACTCTCATTGAGAAACTTCTTTTTTTTCCCTCATGCTTGAATCTGTGACTGTAGTTTTTGTCCTTCCTCTGAAAGGATGCTGAGTCTGTGTGCTATAGTACTGCTTTAGGAGGTGTAAAACTCCAATTAAGATTAGTCTTTGCCTTCCCTTCTCCAGCCTAACCCATCTAACTTAGCCTCTCTTCATGCTACTTACTCCATGACTCCATCTTCTCCAGGATTTGCTTCAGTATTTTGACGTGTCTTTCATTTTTTTTCTCTGTTAATGAAATACTGGTTGGAAGGTTTCTGAATGCTTCCTTTTTATGCAATCAGATTCAAAACTGCAGAGAAAAAGGACTTTCAGGTTATGAGTACAATCCAGGGGGAGTTATTCCCTCACCCACCCACATACCTCTCTCCCCACCACTGCATGCATGGCCACAGACACATACAAACATGGACAAATCCATTGGCTTAGTTCCAGTTCTTTTCATGA